CCCCCCCCCTCCGTCGACAAATCCCATCTCACCTTCGCTGTCACACACGGTGTTTTATATCTTGCGGTAACTTACGCAAATCTCATTACGCAACATATCACAGAAATACACGAGAGCCCGGAACGTTCGTGTTCGACTTTTCGAAAGAGACAGAGACAGATAGAGAGAGCATGCACCTATGTTGCGCTTCACGCAAGAACGTGTGGTGGTGGAAAACGGGGAGGAGAGAGAGAGAGAAAGAGAGAGAGAGAGAGGATGGATTCTTTCTGCGCGGATGGAAATTCGGAAAACTCGTTTCACAATCGTCGCGACACCCTCGATCAACGCCTGCTCGACAACGCCGAAAAACCGACAAACGACCGGTTATAAATAGACGGTTAACAAACATACGTACACTCCTCCGGTTATTTTTAATTGCGACTCAACCTTATATCGGTCCTCGCTTCACCGAGCCGATCTCCTTTTTTCTCTTTTTTTTCCTTTTCGTTCGTATATAATTTTCTTAAAAAAAAAAAAAAAAAAATCTTCGCGCGAGAACGAGAAATTAAAATTCTTCTCGTCGAGATTCATCCCTGTCCTTTCGATCGAACGGATTTCCATATAGATTTTGTCATTTCGAGACGTCGTATATTTTTGGATAACATTTTATATATATATATATATATATATATATATATTTCGCAATGATATATTTCGCAACGGAGATAAGTGCGAGTAGATCGAGAAAATTGGAGATCGATCGGTGGGGCAAAATTAGTCGAAGGATTCAAGGGTGAGCAGCAAATATTGGACCCGAGTATCGAATCGTGTTGTTTTCGTTTCGCTAGCGGAATTTATCCGCGTTGAATACGGCTGACAAGAAGACGCGTGATTTTAATGCGCTGTCTATTTCGGTTTAGCCGAACCGAGTCGCATTAAAATTTAGTATATTTCTTCGAATCGAATTCGCTTCCGTTTCTTCTTCTTCTTCTCCTATAAATTTTTCGTTACGAAATTCGAAAAGTTTTTTTTTTTTAATCGAAATTAGGACATACATTCGAATATTTTCCCCCTTTCCCAAATCCATTAATGAAAAATAACTCGACTTTATTTTAATTGATAATTCGACAGTAAAAATCTTATTGTTAAATTTTCGACAATTTTTTAAGTAAAGTAGTTAGCGTACAGATTAACGGGGCAACGAGATCGATTACGACACAACGTGGCGCAGAGGATACTTCAGAGTAGTGTAACAGCAAAATTAGTCGGGCAGTGGTCCGGTGGACAGGTGCGTGTGCGACGCAGAAATTTTAGCGGGCACCGATAGATACGTTCGCTCTTGGAACAATAATAGAGAAACGGATAGATGTTGACACCGTGTGATCCATGAATGCGCGACCGATTTCGCGACGACGAAACGCGGGAATTGCCTCAAGGACAACAATTTTACTCGCTTTTCTGAGAATCTTTTCGAAAATCATTCGTCACGAATAGATAACATTCGATACGATATTACGATCGAAATGTAAACTACGAGAAAGATTCGAAATCTGATCCGATTGTACGCCGATCGTTTTTCTTAATTTAACGATTGAATTGGAAAATAAATAAATTACGCGAAACGAGATATATATGTGTATTAATATATATATATATTCACGAATGTACGGTATTAATTATAATCGTGCAACATAAATAACTATAATCCCCCACTTAGAGTAGTCACACTATAAAAGACGAACTATCTAATCCACCTTTCCAAGAATTATTAAAAATAGCGGCAGAATTCGTCTCTGACGTCATAAACAAATTTCATTTTCCTCTTTGACACACCCTGGTAGTTCCATTCTCTCTTTGTTTAAAAAAAAATCATCCTTCTGCGATTCATTAATCATTTTCAAAGGCCAAATAAAAATATGCATGTTCCGTTGAAAAATTTCAAAACTCTTTTACTAGAGGAAAAAAAAAAAAATTAAAAAATCAATACAGGCTATCAGTTAATCACAGACGCGAAAATATTCAGGTATTCGCGTGGACACGAATGAAAATCATTGTACGGTGAGAGAGAGAGAGAGAGAGAGAGAGAGAGAGAGAGAGAGAGAGAGAGAGAGAGAGAGCTCGCAACAAGATGTCCGTCGACTATTTATTTATAGAGCGAGCACACATCGGCACGCATGGTCACATGCTCGCGTGCACGGCACACCGATTCGTACACACTTGCGGAGATACGCGTGAAAACGCGCGGAGCGAGAGTACGCGTACTTGCCCGCGTTTCCCTTGGGAGTGGACGAAAAGTTCGTTTCGAGCGGCCGTTTATTTTGTACTCTGTTTATTTGTTAACGCGAACACCGCTTTCATTGTTTGCAGAAATAATACGATGAAAGTGGCGCGAGAGTGGTTAGGGGAAATAAATTTTGGAAAAGAACGATTTAACTCGTTGAAATTCGAATTTAAAAAGTTTCGAAAAGAGATTTACAGAGATCATATATCGCTTGTACGCTCGAATCGATTCGTTGTAAAATTTAACGTTCTTACGACGAAGAAATTCTGACGAGATCGAATAAAAGTTAAAACATAACCTCAAAAGTTTAATACGGAATACTTAGAAGTTCTGAATATAAGTAAAAGAAAGCTGAAAAAAAGGGGGAAATATAATCTAATTTTTAATACGATTAAATGTAATTAAAACGTTATATTAAGAGTTTAAGAGGCGGAAGATATTTATTCCGGTTGGTGCTAGATTATCGAAGTCATACAGCGTGGATTTTCCTGCCGACTTTTCAATGCGGCCCGTCTAAAACGGACCTCGCCTCTGCCGCAGTGGCATCGCGAAAATGCGACGTGTCCGAGAACGACACGCGTCGAGGCACCTGTCCTCTCTCTAACACTTTCATAAGAGACGATGATACTTACGCAACCGACCGGCCGGGCGATATTTAGCTCTTAGGACGAATACGCAGTGTCTCGATTATATACGATTAACCTCTACTTTTCCTTCTTTAGCCTAAATTCGATTCTTTCCAAGGTTGTTTCTCGAAATAAATGAAAGTAACAATGATTGCATTTTAGTAATTCTTCTTTCGAGAACGAAATACGAAAAAGATTATTCGAAATTATTATCCCATCATTTTTGATATGTTAAAACCGATGAAGAGAGCAAGAACATAACCAAATCACTATCACCATCCAATATCGATAGTCCACCATAACCTCAACAATTACATACACCTTTCCATCCACTCTTCTAATCGTTTCTTTTCTCAATTGTTAACGAATACTTTATAATAAAAAATCCACAGGATAGAATTCAATTATTACGTATTCTTGATCGTATCTTTTCGTACGTTTACCCTTCTTCCCTTCTGTAATGTATCGTCTATTAGGTCAGTCGAAACGAACGGAGCAAGTGTCTACTTTTAGCATACGTCGACAAGGCGGATAATCCGAAAGGGTCCGAAGTAGCGAAGCCTTCGCTATCCACGCCACGCCTTGGCAGCCAGCAAGTTTATATTATTGTGGTATCGTGTATATTTACAGAGGGTTAGGAATTTTTATGATGTTGATCGTTCGTCGCCCGTGTACTGTCGATCGGCATTCTTCGATAGTTGTGCGCATGCGCGTTTCAAGCATGCTGATTCGACAATTAACTCTCATCCTACGAGCGATACGATTCTTCTTTATTCGATACGATCGATATAATCGATTGCATCGCTATCATTTTATTCTTCAGTCTCTAGTTATTTTTTCCCAATACATCTATATCGAATTAATACGTCGCTGATGTCATTAGATTTATATTTTAGAACATAGATCGAAATAGATTTCTTTTTTGAGAAAGAATAGCTCAAGAATATAATAATAATAATAATAATAATAATAATAATACGAGATGTTTTTAAGTAACGTTAAAACTCGGTGAAAATTTTTGGAATCGACATAAGGGATTTACGACAAACAAGGATATAAATTTTTCGGATTTAAATCGAGACCTTGAAGCTCGGAAAGTGGAACAACGGGAAGAATAAAAAAGCGGAATGCGAAATCTTTTCGAGTGAATTCACGAAAGTTGGAAAACTTTGAAATATGGCTGATTCCAAACGAACGAATCTTCGCGTAAAATGTGCCGGCGATCTCGAGACTGTCTCGACCATATTAATTGGGTCGCGAAGTTCGCAAAGCATCTCGTGGTGCTCGCAGCCTAGATGAGAATAAATAAACGCCGATTAAACTGATTTTTTCCGAACGAGTCGGTTCACCAATTTCTCTCGAAATTTCCTGACTCGGATTTATCTTCGAACGAGCTAATAAAAAAGAAAAAAAAAAAAAAGAAAAAAAATAAAGAAAAAAAGAAGAGAAGAGAAATAAGATACTCTCTGAAAAGAGAGTCTCGAATGATACTTCATTTATTCCATTCCATTTATTCGAGCGTTACATTTACTATTCGCATCCATTGTACTTTTCATAAAATTCTGCAAAGACTTTTATGATAATCAACTTTGACATACGAATATACAATATTTATTATGATTCCATGGAAATTTATGAACGCAGAAGATAAATATAAATGAACGAATCGTAAATTTCTAAAATTGCACATGAACGTATATAGATAGAAATAATAGATTAAGCCTCTAGTTGCAAACATACCGCCGATCTCATTAATAGAACAAACGAATCCAGAATCGAGGATCGTGTACTTTTCAAGCAGTGATTAACCTTCGATAATAAACATTTTTCCAAATGGTAATTCATCAAACACGATCCCGTTTTATTTCCAACAGCAAATAAACTATTGCACGTCTAACCTAACCTCCAAATTTTCCGTATATAAACCTCTAAATTCTCTATCCCTCCTATGAACAATATTAGCACACAGAAATCCAAAAATCGATATCCTCCCGAATATCTATATAAAATTTCAGAGATTTCCATCGAAATAGCTCTCTCCTTCGATCCTTTCCTTCCTCTCAATCTCGAACAATTCCAAAATTTCCACAACCTCTCCGATCGCTTCACCAACGCCACCTGCGGCCAACGCGACGAAACGCGATTCGTCCCGAAAACAAAGAAACTGAAGAAGAGAACGAATCGCGTGCATACGTGCACGTGGCCCGTTGATCGACGTGTTTCGATCGATCAGCTGGCAGGAGGGCCGGGGCTGGCGCCCGTCCGCGGTTCTTCTTTCATTCGGTTTCATCGAACTCACTGACTCAGTCTGAAAATACGTAATTTCCGTACGTACGTACGTACGCGCGCTGTCCTGGCAGAGGGGCCGCCGGTCTTCTCTCGCCCCGTGTGTGTGTCTCGCCACGCGCTCTCCTCTGTTTGGCTCTCTCTCTCTCTCTCTCTCTCTCTCTCTCTCTCTCTCTCCTTCTTTCTCTCTATGCTTCTTTCTCGCAGGCTCTCGAACTCTTGTGTGGCTCAACAAACACACGGCTTGGCAGCCGGCTTTCTAATGTTTACACCCGTGGTTGACGCAAAAATTGGCCAGGCCTACCGCGCACCACCTACGATAAAGAGAAAAAAACGCTTCGCTGCCAAGACATGGGGTAGGTTAGGCACTCTCCAGACCGTTCGTCGCCTACTTTGACCACCGCTCCTCTTCGTACACGCCGTTGGTGATCGTTTTTCTCACCAAGGATACTGGATTGATAGTAAAATTTGGAAATAATCATATATAATATAAAGATTTCATTGAAACGGATCGAATGATACACTTTTTAACGATAACTTTAATTTCTGCGAAACTTGTCGATTCTTTAAAAATTGATTATCCGAAATTTGCGAATACCTTTCTTTCTATACAATTTCTAAAATTTCTAACGAATCCCAATTTCTCGAACGCCTTTCCACGCCTCGAAATTTTCCCTCTCCAATTCCATCTTCGCCCCAAGCCTGGATCCAGAATCCACGAAACGAGGGGGTTAAATTCATCCGCGCGCGATCCGGGGATGCCTTGGACGTTGGACAAGGATGCTATTCTCGATGAAAAGTGATCCGCCAAAACGGATCACCGCTCTTCCACCGGAGTGTTGGCAGCGCCCTTGGAGATGTGGCAGATTGGAGAGGTGGGTGGAGGGAGGGGACGGGTGCGAGACCAGGGCCCCGGTGTTTGTATGGGGGGCCGGTGAAATTGGCAGAGCGTTCCAAGAAACTTTGAATCGAAGCCGAGTCGAGTGGACACTTTGAATGGACGGATGTGCGAGTGAATGAACGCGCCACGCTCGATTCAGCCACCCGCCTCTCTCTCTCTCTCTTTCTCTCTCTCTCTTTCTTTCTCTCTGTCTCTCTGGGTCTGGTACGAGAGATCAACGAGAGCCGAGCCAATACTTCCTGGTTGGACAGGAGAGGCGATTGGGTGGACGGTTAGGAGGATTGGTGTTCGAGGTTGGGGTCGAGGATTAGGGGGTTGTTATTAGGCGGCTTGGATTTGATTGGAGAGACGGAAGACTTTTGAGGTTTGTTTTTTTTTTTTTTTTTGAGAAAATGCTTGTTTGAGAAATTTTTATGGAGGAATGAAAATGAACTTGACTATCACGAGTTATATAAAAAATTATTAAGATTATATAATTATTATATAATAATAATTTATAATATAATAATATATAATAATAATAATAATAATTATAATATAATATATTAATTATTATATAAAAAATTAAATAAGAATAGAAGAGAAATTTAAACGAGTGAAAATATTTGAAGGTTTTTGGGGATAAAAATTTTGAAATATAGTAAAGATTCTTCTATTAGTAATTCGAAAAATATTAAAAATTAATTCCTAAACCAAAATTGCGAAAATTCTACACCAAGGAGGAGGGGAAAGGAACAGGTTGTTGAATAAACTTCGCCTCGAAGTTATTTGTCCGTTCAACGACCAAATATCGACGGAACGGACCGAGGATAAATTTTGACGAGAGCGTGAGGATAAAAGGTAAATTTGGTGAGAATAAATGGAACGGAACGGTCGTTATATATCCCTTACCGTGGCTGGTGATAAAATTGGCGAGGTAGAGATCGAGTTCCCGGACGGAGACGTTGATGTGATAGGGGTTGACGCAGAGGCCCGGCTGAGCGCATTCCGCAGTCTTCTCCAGCCGTTCCCCGTCCGTCGACTCCAACGGAATTGCCTTGAAGAGGATCACCATTACTAGGTCCAACCTCCATACCTGCGACATTACGACCCACCGTTATCGTATCACCCACCTCACCCTCGCCACCCAAATTTCCCCAACAAAAATTGTTCCTTAACTTTTTAATTTTCTTTGATATCGTTCGAAGAAAAAATCAATAATTTATAAAAATCGATAATTTATAAAAATAATTAAAAATTAAAAATTTCCCCTCGACAATTCCTCCATTGTTCATTAATTTTTTAATTTTCTTTAACTGCGCGTATCGTTCGAAAGTCATCACAATAATTTATAAAAATAATAAATAATTAAATATTAAAAATTTTCCCAACAAAAAAATTGCTTCGATAATTCCCCCATTGATTCTTAATTTTTTAATTTTCTTTAATTCCGCGTATCGTTCGAAGACCATCACAATAATTTATAAAAATAATAAATAATTAAAAATTAAAAATTTCCCCAACAAAAAAAAATTGCCTCGACAATTCCCCCATTTTTAATTTGATTCTTAATTTTTTTAATAAGGTCATAAAAAAAAATCAATGATAATTTATAAAAATTAAAAAATTAATTTATAAAAATATTCGTGGAGGATTATTAATATATTTTGCATTAGGAAACTTTGAATTAGGTTTGGAATTTGAAAGGAGAAGGATATTATGGATGGAATGTCACAATGTTATTAAAGTTTTTCTAAAGAGAAATTAGAAGTGTAAGTAGACGTACCTTATCGGCCTGACGCAGGCAGTCGATGCGGCGCATTTTACCCTTCTGATCAGGATTACTAAGGACGCACATGGCCGGCCTCTTCCCCGTTATGCTCAGCACGAAGTCCTCTCTGTACTCCTGCGTGATATCCTTTCGCAACTTGCCCAAAAGCCGCGAGGCCCATTTCTGTTTCACCTCCAGCTTCTCGTTCTGTAACAAATAATTCAGAAATAACTAATTCCTCTCCCCCATAATTCCAAATTAAATTTTTCGACTCGAATACGATTTTTCCAAAAATTCACAATGAGAAACGAATTTATATCCTATCATATCCTATTATTTCTGTTTCCAGCTTCTCGTTCTGTAAAAAATAATTTAAAAATAACCAATTCCTCTTTCTTATAATTCCAATTAAATTTTTCGACTCGAACACGATTTTTCCAAAAATTCATGAATAATTTAGATCTCCATTACCCATCTCTTCCACAAAGGAGAGATAATAATATTTTGATAATTCTCTCTTTTGGACGACAATTAATAAGCTCGGTGAAAAATAATTAATAATTTTTATTAATTATATATCAAGAGTTAGTTCCTCGTAAGAGGTGTGAAAAAAGGAAGAGGTTGAACAACCATTTCTTGGTCACAGAAATCATATCTACGGGGAATGCGTGCATCGATGGGCCGCGGATGGCGGCAGCTGTTGATCCGTTGAAAGTTCGGCCAGTTTACAAACTCCGCCCGATGGCTCGGGACCAAAGCAACGGTGACCTCAAACTATTCGTCGGAACGATATGCGGGATCACGTTCCCGTGTGTCCCCTTCCACATACACACCTCCCCCTCTACCGATATCTTGACCTTCCTCCAGACCAACCGTCCGCGACCCTGTGTATACGGCGTCCTTGTCTTTCGTGGTTAATTTAACTTCAAATTAAATCGTTCCCCCAAAACGAGCGAATTTATTATCGACGAATTTTTCTTAAAAAATTTGTTAAAAAATTATTGGCAATCTCTAGAAAATCTTCCATCTCTAGGTTAATCGAATATCTCGAATATCTAGTTATAAAATAAAAAACCAAGAAATTCCCTGTAAAAAAAGATCACTATCGCCTTATGTTACTATAAATCCCCTATAAAATCCCCTATAAAAAGTTACCACTAATATGACGGAGCATGGAAATATCAAAAGATTCTTTTCTTATTTCGCTCGAAACGTAGTGGAATTCCTCCGCGGAACGCTCTCTCTCTCTCTCCCTTTCTCCTCCTCCTGTTACATCGAATAAATAAATTCCGTGCGGCGTGTACGCCTAGGGCAGGCTCGTTTTTCAGTCACCGTGGAAATCTTGGAGGCAAGTTGGCCGCCACGGGAGGCGGGCGAACGCTTGACGACCTGCCTCGGCCCCTCGCGGCTTCTCTTATTCACCTCACGGACGCGGCCCAGCGGTGGAATAGCAAATGCGCGCGGGTGCATAAGGTCCCTGAGAAATGCGTGGAAAGCGCGCGGAATGCATCGACGCGCGGCGGCAGCGGCGACGACCGTCCATCTATCCCGCCTAGCCCCTTTCTGCCACGCACGTGCGCCCACCGATACTTTTTAAGAGGGACGAGAAAAACCGCTGCCGCGTTGCTGCGCGTCTAAACTCGCGGCCGCGTGGAAACACGCGCAACCCCGTGTCAGCCATCGCCATCGCCATCGCCCATTGTCACGTTTTTTTCCTCGAACGGCCTCTCGATACATTTCGATCGAGGAATTTTCTTTCCCGATTCGGATGCTCGATTTTCTTGCTCGACGGATTCAAAGCTCGATCGATTTGAGATTGTTTGATCTCGTTTGATGTCGTTTGAAGTCGTCTAGGATAAGGGCAAATGGCGAGTATGAAGGTTGGATGGAAGAGGATCGCTTGGAGGGCAATGTTTGAGATGGTTTGAGATGGTTTGAGATGGTTTGAGATGGTTTGAGATGGTTTGAGATGGTTTGAGGTTGCCGATGATCAAGATTAACGATGAATATGCAACGGAAGAATGAATTGGATGGAAGAGGAGGAGTAAAGAGTGCGTTGAAGAGTTGAAAATTGACTTTAATAAAGAAAAATTCTTCGATCTCGTCTCTCTTCGAACGAATTCTTCTTTTTACGATTAACGATCCCTCGCAAAGCATCAAAACGCAAAAAAAGGAAAAGCATTGAGCACCACTGCTCAGTACATAGAGCAACAATTTCCATTTTCGACTCGTCACGCATTCGATTCGAAAAGTCGGGAAGACAGATTCATGGAAATATTCACCTCGACTCCTCCCCCTCCCCCTCGACGGAGGAGAACGAGAATCGCGCGTCGAAGCACCGTTACCCGATCATTCAAACACGAATCTAGATGTTAGAAACGCGTCGACGCCATTTCCCAGGTTAAACTCCGTTGTCCTTAATACTACACAGACAGAGAGCGTTTTTCGCGCGAAAGAAAATTTCAAATCACGTTCCCCTGGTTGTCTCGCGTACAGAAATGTGTGGCGAGCGAGTGAGCGAAAGAGCGAAAGAGAGCGAGAGAGAGAGAGAGAGCCGGGTCTCTCAACTGTGGGAGAGTACTGGGCTGCGGTTACGGTGCATCCTGCATAAACCCGATCAAGTATGCCGAGTGTGAAGGAGGGCCGCACAGGCCACGTATATCGTGACATGCGTATGTACATCTAGGCGCGGCAGTTTACCTCGTTCACGCCGCGCCGATTTCTCGCGATGCTATTCCACTCCACTCGACCGTGCGCGGAGCATAGTGTATTTCTGGAAAATTTTCTGCCTCCGATTATACATATATCGACTATATAACTTCGTCTCGAAAAACGGGGGGAGTTAAGACAAAAATTGAAAAATAAGGTTAAGTTGAAAGGAATAAAACAAGATGAAGGTAAAAAGTATGTATAGAGAAATAATTGAAGCGAGGATAATTTTTCACAAGGATAAAAAGCAAAGTTAAAAAAATTTTTTCTTTTTGAAGAAAAAACAAAGTTAAAAAAATTGATCGTAAGAAGATCGAAAGATCGAAACATCGAAACATCGAAAGATCGAAAGATCGGAAGATCGGAAGATCGAAACATCGAAACATCGAAAGATCGGAAGATCGAAAAATCGAAAGATCGAAAGATCAAAACATCGAAACATCGAAACATCGAAAGATTGAAACATTGAAAAATCGAAAGATCGAAACATCGAAAGATCGAAACATCGAAAAATCGAAAGATGGAAAGATCGAAAGATCGGAAGATCGAAAAATCGAAAGATCGGAAGATCGAAAGATCGGAAAATCGAAAGATCGGAAGATCGAAAGATCGGAAGATCGAAACATCGAAACATCGAACATCGAAAGATTGAAACATCGAAAAATCGAAAGATCGAAAGATCGGAAGATCGGAAGATCGAAAAATCGAAAGATCGAAACACCGAAACATCGAAACACCGAAACATCGAAAGATCGGAAGATCGAAAAATCGAAAGATCGGAAGATCGAAAGATCGAAAAATCGAAAGATCGAAAGATCGAAAGATCGAAACATCGAAACACCGAAACATCGAAACATCGAAAGATCGAAAGATCGAAAGATTGAAAGATCGAAATAAAATGATCGAAGAGCGATAAAATTAACAAGAAAGAAGGCGCAACGAGGGGATGGAATTTCATCTCGAGGATTCGAGAAAGTTTGGAAAATATTCTTCGCGCCTTCTTTCTTCTCGGAAGAAGAATATAACGTCGAACGAAGGAGGTGAAAATCTCGTGGTTGCGAGCCGTCGAAACAAGCCGGCTTGAATTCTTCTCGCCGGCCACGACGAGTCAGGTATTGAATAAAAGCCGTAACTTTTCCCCGTGTAAATAAATCTCGGGGAGCCGGTTCATTTTTATGCCACTCTCCTTCCGTACGACGTTCACGTACCGGTCGTATTCGATCGGCCCTCCTCCGTCCACGTCCCGCGACGGGGCAATCGAATTCGTCTCACTTCGAGAGCCAACGAGAGCCCCTCGTTACATTAGACTCGGTGAAATTGAACGTAAATACCGTGAGGGGGGGGGATCGGGGTTCTCCCGATCGTGCGATTATCCCGAAAAACGGGACACGAGGAAATTCTTTCCCTCTTCGAAATTCGAGGGGTGGCGGTCGATTCGAAACAATCGTTTCTTCCTGCACCAATTCCCTCTCAATTTTCTCTCTCTTTTTTTTTTTAATCGCAGTTAGAGAGGGATATTACAGAAGAGAGGGCTACGATTCTCTAAGAATTTCAAACAGAACGTTCTTTCCCCCCTCTCCCTTTAAGAGTTTATAATATTCGAGAATATTCTAATTTCGTAATTAAGAGGATGTTCAAACGAAAGAATCCTTCGAGATGTCCATCAATATCCAATTCCATAATTCCCAGAGGCTTCGAATTCTCCTCGATCCAAATCATCCAGTTCCAAATNCAAAAAAAAAAAAAAAAAAAAAAAAAAGATCCTCTCACTGAATTCCACCCACCCAATTGGAGCGACTCTCCACCCGCCACTTTCCTCTCACGACATCCCCTCCTATCCCCCCTCCTCCTCCCTAAAAAAAATCCTCTCTCACTCTTAAAAAGTGGCCGCCGACGGAAGGCGAACGAGCGACACGCGAGGCAAATTTTTCCAGGAGCTCGCTCTCCTCCTCGCGACGCGACAACAACAGCCTTGAAAGATCCATCGAGGGAGGGAAGGGGGAAAGAAAGATTCTCACAAAAGCGGTAGCTATTTTCGGGACGCGCACACAAACACTTCCCCGGGAAATGCGACATCGGAACGGAAGTGGCGTTGCAAGAAGTGGCTTGGAGAAAAAAAAAGAAAAAAAAAAAAAAAAAAAAAGGGGGCCATCGAATCCAACGGCCGGCCGGAGAAGGTAATCCCGAGGAAGTAAGAAGGGAGGGGGATCAATCGCAATATCAACGGTGAAACAAAGCCTCCTTCCGCGGGGGAGGGGGTGGGGTGGGGGTGGTTTGGAAGACGTGGCGGAATCGAGGAAGGGAAGATTGTTGAAGGAAGAACGCGGAAGAGGCAAGTCTGCACAACTCGCCCCGCTTTTCTATTTCCGTTTCACTGCGGGTCCTTCCTTCCTTCCTTCCTTCCTTCCTTCTTTTCTTCGCGTAGGCGCGTGGGGAGAGACACCAAGTCAAAGCGGGAACAGGTTGCTGCCGTTTCTTCAGGGACGACGCGCCTCTCG